CTTGGGGCTACCGCCGTTGAGGATAAACTCCAACAAGGGGTGAGTTTTAAGACGCTTTTTAATAGATCAAAACGTTGATACGTATTGTTTTACTTATATTTTGCTATTTTTGTCAGGTTCCCGAGTGTATTGACAAGCTTGCCCAAGCAGGCATAAAGATATGGGTTTTGACCGGAGATAAGATGGAAACCGCCATTAATATTGGGTATGATACGATGCTTTTCTTTTCGTTTTCGTGTTACTTATTTTAGGCGAGTATCGTCTAGAGTATAGTTTATTCAAATTCTTTTGGTTTTTGTTTTTGCAGTTATGCGTGTAGCTTGCTTAGACAAGGAATGAAGCAGATAATCGTAAACTTGGATGCCCCCGAAATCATCGCTTTGGAGAAAGCCGGAGACAAAAGAGCAATAGCCAAGGTAAATAAATGCCTAGTTTTATCCTAACTATACTTATATTTGTAATTAGCTACGATAATCTCAATGCTGTATTGATATGTATGTTTTTCCGAACTTAATGTCTATAGGCTTCAAAAAAAAGTGTCCTTAAGCAACTTACTGATGGGAAAGCTCTGCTTGCTTCATCGAACAACGAGGCGTTTGCTCTGATTGTTGATGGAAAATCGCTCACTTACGCGCTCGAAGGTGACATAGAAAACTTGTTTTTAGAACTTGCCATTCGGTGTGCTTCCGTCATTTGCTGCCGCTCATCGCCAAAACAGAAGGCGTTGGTAAGTCGCGATGCGTGCCTCGTCGATTATATTTTCCCTTTCCCGGATTCTTTCCCGTTTTTCTAATGTTCGTTTTCTCTGCTCGAAACGTTTTCGGGAATCTACAGGTAACAAGACTTGTTAAAACTGGGACCGGGAAAACGACGTTGGCGATTGGTGATGGGGCTAATGATGTAGGAATGCTCCAAGAAGCGGACATTGGAATTGGAATCAGCGGTGTTGAAGGAATGCAGGTATGAATCTATATGACGTTTTTACGGTCACACTTCAATTCTATCAATGATTGATATATAACATATCTCCCCGTTTTTCCTAATTTTTGTGTTTTCTATGGCCGGGCAAACGCAGGCTGTCATGTCGAGTGATGTTGCAATTGCTCAGTTCCGATTTTTGGAGCGCTTGCTTTTAGTGCACGGGCATTGGTGTTACAGAAGGATCTCTTCAATGGTAATCGATTTGCTTCCATATCAACGTGTTTTGATCAATCCTTGTCTAAAAAATTGTGGAGTTGATTAAATATGTATTCCTTCTTCTTCCCCTTGCAGATATGCTATTTCTTCTACAAAAATATCACCTTCGGGGTTACTGTGTTCTTGTACGAGGCATATGCATCGTTTTCCGGGCAACCTGCATACAATGACTGGTTCCTCTCACTTTACAACGTGTTCTTCACATCACTCCCCGTGATTGCCTTGGGGGTTTTCGATCAAGATGTGTCTGCCCGATATTGCCTCAAGGTACGTAATCTCAAAGCACAATATAGATGATTGTTTCGTGTCTGCACTAAGCACTACATTATCGATTGTGAAACAAGAATGTTATGTGAACTACTAATTGTGAAAGAATGTCGGAAATGCATATAAAATGACAATTCTGGAGGCAAAACCCTAGCCAAGTTGGTCAGACTGGTAGCTTGGTAACCATAAGGTTACAAGTTAGACTCTTAGTGGGAACGGCCTATTGGCCTTCTTGGTTTGAGTATGTCGGTTATGGGCAACTTAGGCTGGTTTACCTGGTTAGGGTCAAATGGCGAGATTTACCCAATGCACACTCTTGAGTAGTGATTGCGGGTTTCTCTCGTAACTAAAAAAAATGACAATTCCGGGGGCAACCCCAGCCAAGTTGGTCAGACTGGTAGCTTGGTAACCATAAAGTTACAAGTTTGACTCCCAGTGGGAACCGCCCATTGGCCTTCTTGGTTTGAATAGGTCGGCTATGGGCAACCTAGGCTGGTTTACCTGGTTAGGGTCACATGGCGAGATTTACCCAATGCACACTCTCGAGTAGTGACTACGGGTTTCTCTCGTCACTAAAGAAAATGACAATTTTGAAAATTTCTATTCTTCCTCGGTTCCTCCTACCTTCTTTGTGGCGCTGAATGGCTCTACCTATACTCGGTTCTTGCAGTTTCCTTTACTTTATCAAGAAGGCGTTCAGAATGTTCTCTTCAGCTGGAAGCGAATAATTGGGTGGATGTTCAACGGGGTTTGCTCGGCTGTGATCATATTTTTCCTCTGCATAAACGCGCTAGACCCTCAATCTTACAAGAAGGATGGAAAAGTAGCCGGATATGCAGTCGTCGGGGCAACAATGTACACTTGCGTCGTTTGGGTCGTGAACTGCCAGATGGCCCTCGCCGTGAGCTACTTCACCTTAATCCAGCACATCTTCATCTGGGGCGGGATAGCTTTATGGTATATTTTCCTCCTGATCTATGGCGCTCTCCCGACAACGTTCTCCACCACCGCATACCAAATCTTCGTGGAGGCCCTCGCCCCGGCCCCCATGTACTGGATAATCACCCTGTTCGTCGTAATGGCGGCTCTGATCCCGTACTTCGCCTACAATGCGGTTCAGGCCCAGTTCTTCCCGATGTACCACGGGATGATTCAGTGGTTAAGGTACGAGGGAAAAACCGAGGACCCCGAGTACTGCAACATGGTGAGGCAGAGATCGATAAGGCCTACAACCGTCGGATTCACGGCTCGTTCTCTGGCGAGAACGAATCCGTTGGAAGACGGGACCCGCAGCACCAGATAGCACATTGTCCCTGGCAGAACAGAACGGAACGGAACATGTTGTACCTTAAACAACGCACTGTAAAACCCGAAGAACTCTGCCCGTTGTACATGAGTGCGTGGCGGGGGGTGGTTGTGCAGGTATACATACAGGTTTGTACAGAAGCACCTTTCAAGTGTATCATGTTTCTTAGGTGTTGGAGATTGGTGACAGACAATCTCTGTAAGTTTTGCAATTTTAGCTATATATATTCTTTCATTTTACAGTGTAAAATTGTTGGGAGTTATATAGATGTTGGAGATGAGTTGCAGATAAGGAAATGTAATTTTCCATGAGGAAGAGACTGAGAGGGGTTGGTTTTCCTTGTAACCCTAGATGTTTCTTTCAATACTATCCTCTTGTAAACATTTTGTCACAATAAATAAGCACCAATTTATTTCTCAAACCATTTTTTGATGCCCCAAAAGGGGTAGTTGAGTGGATGTAACATAATTCTCATATGTGAGAGGTTTACCTAGTGCATACTCTCATATAGTTGTTGCAGGTTTCTCTTGTCTTTCTAAAAAAAGAAAATAATTTAAGCATTTATTTAGATTGCCATAATTTAGATAGCACGGAAATAGAAAACATAACTTAGGATTTGAAACATTTCTTTGATTTATGAGAGAACTTGGCAGTATCATAATGAGTTGAAGTTTAACGCTGAATGGAAAATAGGTTAGGAAAGGTGGTTTCCTGGAAGTGCTGTTCTCAAAAGATGACAACTTGAAGTGAAATGGATTAGATTCTCTTGTTCTTATACATTTGGTTTGCCTAAGGTAGAGTTCAGATGGTGTGTTGCTTGACTATTTTTGGAAGATGGCTTACAAACACTAGGCGGATACGGTCCTAGTCTCTTAGACATTTCTTTGTCTAAGACATTTTATCAAACATTTTGGTTACACCTCCTTTCAGACTTTGCCCTCTCGAATCTAAAGAGGAATTGCAAATGAAAAAGACTATGGAGAAACTTCAATCTCTTGAAAGTATCCCCTCTCAAACTCCTAACACCATGTAGCCATCAAAGTGCAAGGATCAATACTAATTTCACTCCCAACAAAAACAATTAGGTCAATCGATACATCAAGTCTCCTCAATCGATCAATCAAGGTCTAGAATGCATAATCATAAAAGAAATCTAATCCAATCCCTAGTGATTTCTAGCTACACATATTTTTTTGATTAAAAGCAATTGCACAATGAAATGTAAGAATTGAAGTAAAAGAAATAGAAATTACAAGATTACTTAGCTCCAATTGAAAATTGCAATCAATCTCTAACAAGATTTCAAATCCAAAGCAAGAAGAGAATCCAAAATCCAATCAATGTGTTGTCTTGAACCTTAGCTTCTTTCTCTTTCTAGAATTGGGATAATTAAAAGTGTTGTTAGAAGTGGGAAACTAAAACTAAGTCTAACCCCTCAAAACCAACTAAAAAGACCCTTAAATACTTTTGCGCCCACCTACACGATTCTCCCCACGATCGTGGCGCTGTTCGTGCATAAGCCCGCCACCATACCACCACGATCATGGTGGTAATCATGCAACGTGCTGATTCTTCGTCACGCCTGACACCACAATCGTGGCGGCTACAGTTTCTTCCCCACGATGCTCTGCACGATTTTGGTCGTGCTCCTATGCAACTTTCTTCTCTTATGCTCTAAATTTCCTCATTTTTTATCCAAAAGTCCTGCAAAAACAACAAAGTGCATCTTCCCACATTCCAAATGCTTCAACCATAGTAATTTGTGTGCATTAGTCTCTCAATCAAGTCAAAAACATCTAAATCAAGCATAAAATCTCCCAAGGTGACCCTTCAATAGATACATCTTTGCACTTATCACATCACTACTCGAAAGTGCGTTCTGGGTGAAGCTCGCCTTGTGACCCTAGCTAGTAAAGAATCATAATGAGGTAAATCAACTTAAATTGCTCATAGGTTATTAGCTTTTACCAAAAGGTCAATAGACAATTCCTACGAGAAGTCAAATTTGAAACCTTGTTATTACCATGTAAATTGCTCAACCAACTTTGTTGGGATTGCCCCGTCAAATACGAAACATTTTTGAAACGTAGGGTATGGTGTTTCTGTTTTTCAATATGCGTGAAAACACTTACCCTGAAGAGTTCTAATGCATTATAGACCATAATCTTCCATTCTATATGATGTAATTATTGGATATTCACGGAGACAAGGTTTTGAATGCTAGGAAAGGCTATTGCTTGAAGTTGAAAGAACCAAAGGTTTCTATCAAATGATGATGAAAACAATCATAATCCACCACTTCTTGTTTGGGTTGACAATAAGAAAACACTCTCTTTGAAACATCACCACCCCAAAAGCTCCCAAAAGCAAATTCCCCTTTCTGTGAAAACTCCTCCAAAACCCTCTCAACTTCATCCATACAGCATCCAAAACTGGAGTCACTAAATGGAAACCCATCATCAGGTGACCCTCCACGCCTTCTCGAGCTTTCATCTCCATATCCACACAGTTCGATCTGCACAACCTTCTCCGCCCTCTTCCTGCTTCTCAGCCGCCTTTTCACGTACCGTTTTGTCTTCCGAATTATTCTCGATGGAAGCCTAAGCAAGATGAAGATGATGACCTGCAGAATCAGGCACTGGCAGCAGCATGATATGACAATGCAATCTGCAGCAAGGGCGTTTCGATCCTCCATTCTGAAAGAGAGGAGAGGACAAAGGATTGGAGATTGTGAATGAGATTAATGGGTGCCATTTCTTCAGGAATATGTTCTTTCTCCTCCTTGGATGGTTTATGAAGTGTGAAGCAATAAGCTAAAGAAGACAGACCCAATGAGTCATTTGACTTCTGACAAAGCTGTAAACTAGAATTCTTTTCTAAGGAAACATAAGCTGTCATCTCTAGTAACTTGTATTACAAGTCTCATTCAGCTTATCTTCTACACAAAGGAATCTATATTTTTTGGGGGTTGCGAGGAAACCCGCAGTCACTACCCAAGGGTACACACTGGGAAAACCCGCTTTGTGACCGTAATCGACAAAGAACAACAAGAAGGTAAACCAACCTAGCTGACCGACTCAAACCAAGAACCAATAGGCTGCTCCCAAGGAATCTATATTGTTATTCATAACACTCTTCATTTTGAACTTACATATATAAATACATGAAAATCAGAAGAAAAAAAATAAAAAATTTATTAAAAAAAAAAAAAAAAAAAGTTGTTGAGTACAAGTTTTCCAGTAAGGCAAACACAATCTTGAAGGGAAAAAAGGACTATATTGTAAAACAATGAATGTATGGACAAGAATATTTTCAGCTACTTACAGGAAAAAATCTCTGCAAAGAATAATATGAATACGTCTAAGAAAGCCAAAAATGGAAACTACTTACAAAATCTATTCATTCTATAAGTTCAAGATTCTAATTTCAGCACTGTGATCTCAGAGACAAAAATATGTACCTTGGCAGTTGAGTATAGTTATCCACTTATCAACGGATGAACTTGCAGGGCAAGCCCAGTGGTCGATACTTCGGTAACTACCTCAACAGTATTTACCATGAATCAACTATTCCAACTACTGTGACTGAAAAAATCTGTACTGTAATTCCCACTACCAAATGCCATCCTCTGAAACAACCTTATTTCTGCAGATTGTTCTGCGGAGTTGAATATTTCACTTTCACCGAGTCTCATTCCATTCGTGAGGTCCGACATGGCCATACTATCAAAAGCTCTCACAACCTGAAATTTGCAACAATACCGGAGATATAAACTTCTAACATATGCAGCCAAAAGGGGTTTCAGGGAACTATTTTGGTGATAACTGATAATAGTTACCTGTCCCATTCGTGGTCTTTTTGTGGAAGAATGGCGAACACAAGCTGCAGCAGCCTCAATCATTCTGAACATTTCACTGTCCACATAATTTTTCTCTAGCCTTGGATCTGTTAGGTGCTGAAATTCCTCGGTTTCAAGAGCCTGACTCAGCAAAGGTCGAGCCTGAAAAATTAATAGATTACACCAAGTCAGGACTATAACCAATAACTAGCAATTTGATTGCATGACAATTTTTGGCTGATATGAAACTCAGCCAGGAAGACAATTATGAATGAGATATTCAAAAACTTCCTGCTACAACTCTTCAACTGACAACTTCGGATGAAAATGAGAAGGCAAAAACAGAAATTAACTTGATCTTTCAGCGTCATGGATAATGCTTGTTTTTACAGTTCTTAAGGCGGGTAATATCAGTAGTCCATTAAATCCTCTTTCCCTCACCATCCCTTTACTAAATGATATCTCACATTTCCCTCCACTTTGACAGTTGGCCCTATCAAATTTAGTTAGAACATATGTCCAGGAAGTCTGAACATTGAAGCAGGTCACAGACTATGGAATCCGCTCCGACTCTAGGCTCCCTCTATAAGTTAGATGCGCAAGATTTTCTCAACTTTTCCTGAATCAAGTTCTGATTGACCTTCAACCAGCATTTAGGTCCCTAAAACAGAATTGAGGGCACAGCTACCTAAGAATGGGTTTCATCACTTCTTGGACCCATCTGTCAAGTTATTTGGTGTCTACAGAACAAGTTAAAGATGCAAAAACTAGCAAACTAGCAATATGAAAGTTGGGATACGGAAAAGCACATAATAATTCTGTGTATACTTGAATGACAGATGATTTAAGCTGATATGCAAACATACAGATAAAGATTATGATCATGATCATACCCACTCAACCAGGCTCTCTTCCCCTAAAGGCTGAGATGTATCGACAGGCTTGCGTCCAGTTATTAGCTCCAGAAGCACAACCCCAAATGAAAAAACATCGGACTTTTCTGTCAACTTGCCACTTGATGCATATTCAGGAGCCATGTATCTAAATCCAAGCAACCAAAGAAATTAGTCTTGAATTATTTGCTCCATCATTTTAACTGTAAGCATAAGCTGTTAGAGATGGGAGATAGTATTTCAATAATCATTTGTTTATTTTATACATTAATCAGGATATCACATGGTTTATATCAAATGCAGATATGAAATAGAATTGTACTTCCTAATGGTTCCATTTTGATATTTATATGGCACTGAGATAATAATAGATGACCACTTACCCAAAGGTTCCCATTACACGGGTAGTAACATGTGTGTTCGCATCCAAAGCTAATTTAGCTAGTCCAAAATCAGAAACCTGTAAAAAAAAATTTAATTTATTTTTTAATCAACAAATTTATGAAAGATAGCAAACATGAAATTTGAAATTTGTGGGCTGGTAAGCATACCCGAGCTTCAAAGTTATTATCCAAAAGAATGTTTGCAGACTTGATATCTCTATGGATAATCCGTGGATGACCTGCAGTTCAAAAGTTCAAACAACAAAGAATGAATAACTATTGATAACAAAGTAATCACCAGTCTACATTCTAGAGTAAACAACAAATGTTCGTGACTTCTGCAGCTTTAAGTTTATGTTACTTTGTAGCTCTTTGTCAACATGATAGTAGGGTTTTGTCCACATTAAAGGATTGACACAATTACAGTATAGGGCAGAGGTTATTATAGACATAACTTGAAATATTAAGCTACAGAGGCGTGACATTTTCAAAATGAAAATGATCAATTGCAAACGTTGCCACTAATGCATCTAAAACAAACTATGTGTTTCCTTTTTCTCTCTCTTCTTTTCTTTTGGATGGAATCAAGTCATATGTCAATCGAATGCAACAAGTAATTCCATTATCATATGTACAGACAAAATTTTGTTCTTAAATGGAAGGCCCATATACTTCAGTGCTTTTGCAATTTTTGAAATAAATGACATGCACATTGACATGAGATGATTCATAATACTTAAAAGAGAGAAGGGAAAGATTAATCACAATCTTCATGGAGATAAGCTATTCCGCGAGCTGCACCAATGGCAATCTTTACACGTGTTGGCCAATCCATAACTGGTCTCCCATTCCCTGGAAGCAGAAACAGCAACACATAGCTTTAGCAACCCGGTAGACAAATCCTTTCTTGAAATTGAAAAAATAAATAACATCTACCATGAAGGTGGAAATGAAGGGTGTCATTAGGGACATAATCATAAACGAGCAATCTTTTGTTCTCCAAGATGCAGTAACCCACAAGAGAGACCAAGTGACGATGGTGAATTCGACTTATGATTTCGACTTCTGCCCTGAATTCACGGTCGCCCTGGCCTCCACCAATTTTTAGTTGCTTTACTGCTATCTCTGACCCATCTGCTAGGCATCCTTTGTACACCGCACCAAATCCACCTTCACCCAAAAGATTTTGTTCGGCAAAACCATTAGTAGCCTCCACTAGTTCTTCATAGGTAAACCATGCCCGCGAATTGCCAAATGCACCTTGTTCCCTTGGTGAATTGACAAACTCACTGCCAGAACCACCTCCAAAACCGTGTGTTAATGCTTGCACTTTTAACAAGGCAGAATCTGTAGAGAAGTCACAGTTTTTCTAATTTTTCATTACAAAAACTAAAGCACATAACATTGCATAGATGAAACATATAAGCATCTATATTTATTAATTAAAAAGTGAGAAATGATAACAATAGCTTTAGATAATTTACCAGATTTTGGAGAAGAGGCAAAAGAGGTTGGCAGGATATAACCACCATTGACTACAGACGCCTTTTTCTTACGCTTCCATATGCACCATCCTGCTACTCCAACAAGACCAAGCAAGAGAAGACCAAGAACTAAGCCAACAACTACAGTCCCTCCGGTACCAATGCCCCCACCACCTGAGGAATTGGGGCTACCACTGGCATTGCTACTAGAACTGTTGTCAGCAGGTTCATTTGGAGGAACTAAGGTTGAAGGAGGAGATGGGGGTATTATTCCTGGTGGTTGAAGTGCTGATGGAGCAAGTGGTGAAGGGACAAGACTTGGTGGTTGGGGAGAGTTATTAGGGGGTACTGATGCAGGCAGAGGGGGTGAAGGTTTTGTAGGATCTGATTCTGGAGGAGAAGGTGAACTTCTTGGAGGCTTGGATTCTGGAAATGGAGGTGAATTCTTGGGTGGCTTAGATGGTGAAGGTGGAGTTGGAGTTGGACTTTTAGGCGGCTCAGCAGTTGGTGGCGGAGGGGAATTTTCCGACGGCCTAGATGACGGTGGTGGGGGCGGAGAATTTTTTGGAGGCTGAGTAGATGGTGGAGTTGGAGTCACAGGCGACTTTGGCGGTGGAGAAGCCCCAGTTTTCGGGGGTTCCACTCGGGGTGGAGGTGAACTAGGTAATGGATTAGTAGCTGGAGGAGGCGGTGAACTACTCGGCGGATTAGATGTTGGAGGAGGTGGAGATGGTAAACTAGATGAAGGTGGAGGCGAACTAACTGGAGGATCAGGAGATGTAGGCGGTGGTGAGTTCATCACCACCGGTGGCGGTGGTGAGTTCACCACCGCCGGTGGTGGTGGTGGTGGTGGGTCAGATGGTGCAGGTGGAGGACTGGATATTGAAGGTGGTGGACTAGTTGGGGGAGGAGATGTTATAGGTGGAGGCGGCGAAGCCATTGGTGGTGGTGATACTGAAATTGGAGGAGGAGATGTCACATTAGCCACAGAAGGGGACTGTGGGGGTAAAGAAGGAGGAGTGCCACCGTTGGCATTGGGCTGAGAAGAGGATTCCGGCGCCGGAGATTTTGGAGGTGAGGGCTGCGGCGGTGGGCTAGATGCTATTGGTGGAACAGGCGATGGGGCAGAATTAGGAGACGAACTACCAGACATTTCACTGTCAATCCTTTAACCAAATCTAACCATTTCTCAGATGCATTAAAGTTCACGCAATAATTCAACAATCCCTAGTCAAGCTCAAGTTTTTAGACAATTCAACACCCAAACAAATCAAATCTCCCCTCCCCATCATTCATTCATCACAAGTTCACAACAAATCGATAAACGCGTCCGGGAAAGTTCAAGCAAACCAATCATCAAACACTTAACAGACCAAAAAAGCTAAACTCTACGCCAGCGAGCAAAATGCAAGAATCAATAAATCCGTGCAGAAATCTCAGAAAAATTTTAAAAAAACCGAAACCCTGTTCGCGCCGACTGATTCACCAATGCACGCCCAACAGCCACTGTAGCGCAAATCAAATCCGATAGCCCACTCAAGCGAATCCGAATGGTGAAATTTCTCAGAAAGACTTCACCTTTAACTCTCCACAACAAACTTGGAGGTTAAACTTCACCCAAATCGCATCCAATCTGCATCGTACAGTCACCCAAAAAGAGAGAATGATGCTTTTGAACTCAAGCAGCCACTCAAAACCCAATACACGGAAAATGGGGTCTCTAAAATCTAGTGCAGACAAATGAGTAAATGACAACCGCGCAAATACACTTCTATTACATCTTCTTAGCTGTCTGGTTTGGTAGACAATATTTAAGAGACGAGACAATATTCAAACTTCAATAATAACATTATAAAAATTATGTCTAAAGTAGACAACTTTTTTATGCATAGATATTTAACTATGTCTATTGAGTCATCGAAATTTACATTCTCCCAAATATTTTATCTGACCCCTAGAAGTCTTTTGGAAAAAGATGTAATACCATTACATTCTTTTTATGAAGAGAAAAATAATAATAATTATTGTGAAAATCACATCGAATTGATTAAATAAATCGCATAATTCTAAGTGATAAGGTTTCAAGGTTTATTTTATTTATTTATTTGAGCCAATCAGTTTTAGCGTTCTTTAGTTTAAATGACTCGACGATAATCATAAGGTCTCAAATCTTCTTAGTTTGAGTCAATTAGGTAGTGCTTTTATCTCAAGTGCACTTTTGATTAGTTGTTGCATGTTTTCTCATAACTAAAAATAATAATTTGCCTTTTCTAAAAAAAAAAAGTATTCTAATTTAGAATTTTAAATAAAAATATTTTTTAAAACCTAACAATTACACTTTTATATTTTAAAAGTAATCTTAATAATTTTGAAATATTTTTTTTTGGTATGAATAATAATTTTGAAATATTACCAAAAGAAAAATACTGAACTTATTAATGCGTAAATAAATAAAAGAAAAATACTGAACTTATTAATGCGTAAATAAATAAAAGTATGCGCAAAGTAGACGCAACTGCTGAAAGCATTTAATACAGGTCTAGTCACTAGGTCAGCACCTTAAGCATTTATATCATTTTTCATCATTATTATTATTATTATTATTATTATTATTATTATTATTATTATTATTATTATTATTATTATTGGATTTAGAATACCATCATAGTCTTATAAAAAATAAAAATTGAGAATTCAATCTAAATTAATTTTTAATTTATAAAAAAGTTCACCACCGCTATTCGAATATGCAATCTAAGTAAAACCCGCATTAACAAAGTAATTACAATGACGTAAATAACGTAAGTTGATCATAGTTGACTAGCTCAGATTAAGACCATATCACTAAGCTGAGATTGTCTTAATCAAATTAAAATTAAGCTGAACTTTACATTAAAAAAGTAAATAAATTATTCAATTATACAGTGCTATATACTGCCAAAAAAACAAACGGTCACGGGACTATCAATTACTGTTTTAAAAAATGGTATAGATTAACAATTAGATTTAAGTGATTAATTAGTAGTTGGAAATTATAATTTATACTTTATACGGAGTATCTTTTATAAAATTAATATGTATTTTAGTAATTACATACAAAATAGTATAAAATGTTATTAAACACAAGTTATATTTACGAAATTTTACCATGCTGATAGTGACAGCATCCCTTGTTAGTATATGATATTATTTTTTTGATCGAGTAAGATACAGAACTCAAAAAAAAAAAAAAAAAAAAAAAAAAATTCTCATCAAGATTGACACTCTTTAAGTCGAGAAAAATTGAAATAATTATCTGCAAAAACATGATGAATCTCCAAAAGGAGAAGAAACTAACCAAGATCATCAAACCCTAAACATGTCCAAATACACAATTGGTTAACCAAACAATTTTTTTTAAGTTACAAGATATCCTGAGTAGGTCCTAACTATAACTTATAAGTCGGTATTATACTCAAACTAATTATCGTTTGTACTTGATCGATTTGATTAAGGAACAAAGTACTGGTCATGTTGATTTTTTCATACGAGATGAGGATTATTTTGAACTCCCAACATCTTTTAAGAGATACGACATGTTTGGTAAAATAGTTAGCTTATAAGCCAATTTTGACTTATTTGACCACTATTAATTATTTGACTTGGTTAAAAAATTAATATAAGTGTTTGATTAATTAGCTTTTTCTAACTGCAAAATGCTAAAATTCAAAAAGCTGCATAAAGCAACCTTTTCAATTAACTTTTTTGAAAAATGAAATTATACCAAACAGCTATCGACTAACAGTTAATTTACCAAACACTTTTCTACAATCAGCTAATATTATCAACTAGTTATACATTCGAATTAACTCAATCCGCTAACAGCTAAAAACCATTTATCGAACAGGCCAGTCACTCACGTTAACGAAACTGCTTTACGAATGGAGGATTTGCTAATAAGTAAGCCATCCTATTTTAGTTACAATCAACTCTATATTTATAGTATTGTTATGACGTATGTTTAACCCACTAATCACTTAATCAGTTGCAGACGATGTAATTATGAGTCTAGGATTCAGTGGTCCTACTCCAATAATTTGCTAATCACCTTTCCCTTTTTTCCTTTTTTAATTTTGACAAAAAAATAAATAAATGTAACCATAATTACAAAATTATTACAAATAAATCTGACGCATAGTGTACAAATCTAGCAATATCCAGCTTTTTTCCGCTACTTGTAACTAATTATTATTATTATTATTTATTTTTAATTTTTAATTAGCATATTAAAAAATTAAAAATCAACTTTGATTTCGTCAAAGACTCAAAGGGTTCCACATGAACTTTTAGTATCGTAATCTACGAGACTACGACCTTGTCGGTCCATTTGAATTATTCTATTCCTTCGGCTATTTTGACTGGAAAAAAAAAAAGGAAAAAGAAATCAATTATCGAGTGTAGGGTTAAGATTGGATAAGAATTAGTAGTATTGTGACTTGTGAGACCGTATAGACTGATATTCATTCATATAGGATGATGATCAAAGATTATAAATTAATAAAAAAATTAATGAATTTTCATAATTTTGATAATGTTTTGGAAGCGCCTAATCGTATATTCAGGATCTATGATAATTTGGGGTAAGGATCTATGATAATGCATTCATGTGTATGAACTATTAGTTATATGTGAATATATTGTCAAATATTTTTAAGTGCATCATCATAATTACAGAAATGCTACCGCATTTATTCTAAATGAACGAATGATATTAGTTCACACGTTCTTACGTAATTAACTATTAGTTCTCATTTGAACTTTATTTGTTGAGTGCACACACACACACACACACACACACACACACACACACACACACACACACACACACATATATATATATATATATATATATATATATATATATATATTTCAGCTCAAATGCAGTCATGCCTTAACATGTGGTCGGTACGGTCACACAATTAGATAGGTAAAAACGCACAACAATAAAATGCACTGCAAAACCATCACACACTCAAAAAAATGCATCATACCTCCCCACACCTAATTGTACGTTTTCAAACACTGTGTGGTGCGTTTATGTATACTTAATTAATGGTGCGTTATTTGGTGCATTTTTTGTTATCGTACGTTTTCTAACACTATTGGTGCGTGTTTGCATACCTAATAGTGCGATCGTACTGAACGCACGTTAAGGTCTGACCGCATTGAAACTTGACCATATATATATATATATATATATATATATATATATATATATATAATAATAATAATAATTATTATTATTATTATTATTATTATTTAGAATAATTTTTTCGTATATTATCTTTAAATTGGATTTTTTTTCTCTATCTTATGTTTTTCACTTTTCTCTGTTCACTAAGGACAATAATTGGGGTTTAGGCCCCATTGTTTCACTTTTTTTGCCATGCTTGTCTTAGAAGAAGGGAGAGATGGGTCCTAAGCGTTTGTAAGCTTTGGTTCATACTTCATATTATATCAAATAATTAATATATGAAACTCTTTCGATAGCGTCCGTGTCACATAAGATCTTTCTAATATGATTTATTTATTTTTATGTGATTTACACTATTCCATAAAACTGTGTTTATCTCGTGCACACTCATGTAGTGACTTATAAAATATATTGTGTGGGGGGCCCTTAAGGTTGGAGATTCAGCCTTTTGGGATAAAAAAATATATTGTGTTTGTCTTGTGCACACTCTCATGTAGTAACTGAGAAGTTCTCTATTTTTATAGCGAAATGAAAACAGAGAATATGTTTACTATGTAGTATTTACATTTGAAAAATAGAAAGCACATTGTAGACACTTAAATTTTGATAAGTATTGATTATTTATCAATATTAGTATATTTGAATATATTTGAAATATTTTGGATAATATTGATATTATCTAATTTGTTAATTAGATAATATCAAAAGAGTTTGAGCTTATCAAAACTCTCTATCCTACAGCTATAAATAGGAGCTCTCATTTCTATGTAATCTGACACATCCTAGGAAAAGTGATGTAAACATCTAGAAAAATATTATTCAGGATCACAATAAAAATGTGATACTGAAAGTAGAAGTCTCTCCTCCATAATGATCATGCCTATGCCTATTGATCCAAACCTCCATTGAAGATCAAGCCATTTGAACCCGGAGGCCCTTCAAGAAGAACAAGCTATATATACAAGCCCTTCTTTGAAGATCAAGCCACTTGAAACTCGGAGGCCCTTCAATGGTGGAGTGTTCAAGGCACCAATTGAAGAATCAGAGGATATCCAGAGACATGTACCCACACCGCATTGATACTTGATATTTAAACCAGAATTTTGAATATCAATATATTTTATTCAATTTTCTTTGTTTACAAATTGGCACGCCCAGTGGGACAGCTCTGCCTCTCATCTCTTCATAGGCACTTTCAACCGGTATGGGGGCAAATCCCATATGAAATTTGAAATGGAGGAGGCTAAATGATACTCTTTGGCACGAGTTTAAACGGCCTTATATTCAGACTCCTTGGCACGAGTTTAAACGGCCTCATATATTTCAAGGCTCCTTGGCACGAGTTGAAACGGCCTCATATCTTTCAAGGCTCCTTGGCACGAGTTGAAACGGCCTTATATCTTTAAGTTGTAGTGTCGAGACTTTCTTGCACTACATACTTTCAAGTGTTATATGCTCTCAAGTGGTGTACAAGCAAGTCTCGAGGGGGCATTTGTAGACACTTAAATTTTGATAAATATTGATTATTTATCAATATTAGTATATTTGAATATATTTGAAATATTTTGGATAATATTGATATTATCTAATTTGTTAATTAGATAATATCAAAAGAGTTTGAGCTTATCAAAACTCTCTATCCTACAGCTATAAATAGGAGCTCTCATTTCTATGTAATCTGACACATCCTAGGAAAAGTGATGTAAACATCTAGAAAAATATTATTCAGGATCACAATAAAAATGTGATACTGAAAGTAGAAGTCTCTCCTCCATAATGATCATGCCTATGCCTATTGATCCAAACCTCCATTGAAGATCAAGCCATTTGAACCCGGAGGCCCTTTAAGAAGAACAAGCTATATATACAAGCCCTTCTTTGAACTTGAAACCCGGAGGCCCTTCAATGGTGGAGTGTTCAAGGCACCAATTGAAGAATCAGAGGATATCCAGAGACATGTACCTTCTTGATTGATACTCAATGTAACTCTAGAATTTTGAATTTCTAAATATATATTCAATTTTCTTTGTTTACACACATAATGAAAAATTTTAAAAATAGGGAAAATGAAATTAGATATTTGAAGTAGATACAACCAAAGATTTTAAAATTTGATTTTTAGTTCATTGTTTGTTATATTGATGAAAATCTCATATTTCTATTTTTTAAAAAAATTTATTAAGTTATGTGAGATTTTTTAGAATGTTATAATACTTGAAAACTTTTCATGATCCAAACACTATATCAACCCATCCAAATATTTTTAAAAATTTATAATTTTTGGGTTAATATTCAATTCATAAATATTATTTTGATTATTATGAGTTATATTTTTATTATATTTGGTTGAACTAATTGAGCCGGTTTATGTGTGGATCAACTAAATTCACATAATATATAAAGGGTAAAATGGTAAACGATGAGAATTGTAGAAATAGTGAATGGATTAATGCAATAATATTATATAAGAAGGTGGTAAGAGTAGAACATGATTTCTCTAAATTAGGACAACATATGCTATTTATACAATCCAACTAATTTAGCTAATTCCATGGTGAGCCACAAGACCGGGTCAAAGCCCGCACGATAGGTCACGGGGTTGGGTTAAACCCAGCTGTTCTAATCCCAAAGACGAGCTTCAAGGCGGAATGGCGATCACTCGAGGCCAGCCCCGAGTCCCTACTCATGGGTACAACTGTTCAGGTAGCATCATCTGGGTCCCTTGTATTGGGTCCACAGGTCTTCTATTTTGGTTCGGGTCATCTTCGGGTTCTTTGTGGTGAGACAAAGAGATCGATATATTATACGCTCAAAGCGGATAATGAGTGAATGAGAAATTGATTCTCAAAGTAGATCCATTTGAGTTTGAAAATGAAAGTGGAAAGGCTTGGAAGAAGCACTTGTCCACATTGGTTTGTGAAGTGGATTTGCACCACTATACATACAAGTATCTTTTAGAAGGAAGTTGAATTGTATATCATAGATACTCTCTCTCGCACGCAGTATAAGCTTGGTTATAGATTGACTTTCGTTTTATCCTGGGAAACCTAGGCATTACAACGCTCCTACTACCAAAGGGATGTAGCAAATAAGGTTTTAATAAAAGTTTGTTTTGCACGACTTGAACTAACCCATACCTAGCTTTCATTTCCTTGTGCTTGTTATTTTTCGGGAATAATATTTTAATTTCTGTAGTATTATATATTTCCGACAATATGTTGAGATATATGATCTTTTCTCGAAAAGAAGTTTAAGAAGGGTTTATCGAAAATTCCTTCTCAATCATATTTCAGCCACATATTGGTTTGTTTACACATAATGAATCATTCACATGCCCAACAAGGGTGATCAAGTTGGTAAATCATAATTCTAGTATTTAAAAGTCATAGGTTCGATTATTGTTAACATTCTTTTAGTCAAGTCCATTACACATGGTCTTCGATTTTAGTATTTTATTTACCTCTTATGTGTGATTAATTAACGAGCTATTGGGTCTTCCTATTGCGATTTACTTCTCATGTATAATTTACAAATTATTGAGTCTTCTTAGTGATGTTTATCTCACCTGTATGATTTACAGTTTGCTGACTATTACACATAAGCGAAGTTTAACTAGTGCATGCGCTCAGATAATGGCTCGATTATCGACTGAAAAGGTATTAATAAGAATCAAACTCTTGATCATTAAGTATAAAATTAAATTACTCAATCATTTCTTTAGGCACGCAATGATTTGTTTATAGAAAAGGAAACATTTATGTCCATGTCGTGACGAAAAATATGAAAATGGTACCTATCAAGAAATATGAAATTGGTTAGTAATGCAAGAAAGTTGATGAATAGTGAAGAATAGGAAATGAATGAAAATGTGGCACAAGTTGTCGGTTGCTATATATGTCAGCCAGCACTCACCACTTTGGCCTGCCCTGTCAACTTTAATTTAGAATAATACATAATAGTCCGTCCAAACGCACCATCTCTGCCTCAAAACACGTGCTGCGACAGAGTGTACCTTATGCTCAACTTGTGAATATCGTCACTATTAATACACGCATTACGCATACATACATATGTAGAAAATAAATAAATCTATGATAATAAAACAAGAAAAAAGTATGAGTTGGTAGGGCATTTTCATTGATGGAGTTTTTGAAAGAGTGTTTTTTTTTTTGGGGCTAGTCAATGTGTGTAGTTGGTTGTTTCTATTGTAAAGCGTGTGTATTTTCTTTTCCATCTTATACCCCGAACCCTTATCATATGATACGCAATAGTATTGCAAGGATATATAAGCAAAACCTAAGTAGCATAAAATCAACCCTCACCCCCATTATGCATACACACATATGTAAGAATTTTCGCTAGTGTCAATAGTATATAATATAATTAGGTAAATACTGATCATTTGGTAAAACTTTTAAGTGAAAACAATAATTTTCATCCCTATATTAAAAAAAGATAATGCTTTATATTTTTCAGCACATTATTGATCTTCTAAATTTTTATAAAATGACTGTTTTAATCTCTCTTATTACAAGATATTAGTCTTAACAATTTTAATTTATAGACTTGTTCACAAAGACTTTAATAATTTAAAACTATAGATTACAATTTTTCACTATATAATAACTATTAGACTCCACATGCACAATATGCAGGTGCCCAAGTGATTGATTTTAAAGGTTGGTGAAGACTCCTTTTAAAAATTAGAAAGTCAACAATGTCCATGTAAACAATTGATGAACTGTTTTCTTTTTTAAATTTGAAACCTATCAACGATACAAACATCAATAAAAATTCTTTGCCACATTTGGAGGTCATGAGTTTATTCTTGTTTAACAGCATATCGATTAAATTTATTACAAATAGAATTGTTAATGAACAGAACATCAACAAAGGATAGGTTATTCGTGTTTGTTTGTTATGTTTCTTGAAATTTTGTTTGTGTTGATTTGTTAAGTGTTCCTTAGTGCTCGTTAATGTTTGCAAATGTGTTCATTATACGTTTATGAACACTAATCAAACAAACAGATGTACATGTTCATTATCATAATTTGTTTGTGAACAATAAATATTCTATGTTCATGAACAATAACCAAACAAACAACATAACAACTATAAAAAATTAGGCTAAACTAAAATAGTATCTTAAAATTTAAAGAATAAAATAAATTACACTTAAATGAATATGACCTTGAAAAGTCATAAACAAACATTAAACAAGCATGTTTGTGAACATTATTAATAAGGAATAAGGTTCAAATTGGTCACTGAACGTAACCAGAAAATGCAATTAGGCGACTGAACGAAAAAAAGAAGAAGTGCAATTAGGTCACTGAACACTCCAAATGTATGCAATTTCACCTGATAGCAGGTTACCATCAATTTTAGTAGGTTACCTGCTTACGTGGCAGCTGAGTTATCATTTTTAATAATTTTTAATAAAGTTTAATAATAAAATTTTTTTAAAAAATTATTTAAAACAAAATTATTTTTTTTAAAATTTATTTTTTTTTTCAATTTTTTTTTAAAAATTTTATTATTAAAAGTTATTAAAAATTATTTAAAAATTATTAAAAATGCCCACTCAACGCTAAAATTGATGGTAACCTGCTATCCGGTGAAATTGCATACATATGGAGTGTTCAGTGGCCTAATTGCACGTTTTTGGGTGTTCAGTGGTCTAATTGCATCTTTTTTTCGTTCAGTGGCCTAATTGCATTTGGAGTGTTCAGTGGCCTAATTGCACATTTTTGGGTGTTCAGTGGTCTAATTGCATCTTTTTTTCGTTCAGTGGCCTAATTGCATTTTTCGATTATGTTCAGTGACCAATTTGAGCCTTATTCCTATTAATAATGAACACTAAACAAACTTGATCATAAACAGTATTAAATGAGTACTAACAAATGTGTTTATGAGCTCTTAACAAACAAGTATACAAATACCCAAACTTTGTTTGTTTATTAAATAAGTTCTAAAATTTGTTCGTTAGTGTTGGTTTACCTTAATAAACTTACCGAACACAAACACAAAATAGTTTACCAAAAGCTCTGTTCGCGAATACTCCTAGTTACATAGGATCTTTCTAGTACAATTTACTATTCCAGTATGAGTTTCCTTTGTCACGAAAAAAAAAAAAAAAAAAAGCTCTTTTCTCTGACAACATTTCTCTCCATTCTCGAATTCTCATGTAAATCTTATGTTGTAACAGATTAGGAGTGAAACACTTGCAATACATCACTTGACAACAATACAACTAAAAACTGAACAACCACCTGTATGCCAAAATACTAAAATCAAAACACTGAAACATAAAAGAAAGAACAATGAAATGAAATATCCTTTAAAGTCAACATTTTTTTTTTATCAACCAAGAAGCTGGCAAGAACAAATGTAATCAGAACACTTCACTAAGCACCTTGAGGGTCCTGCCATTCTATTTAAGTTGATGTTAAGTAAAACATACAGCAAAGTCTTTCTACATACGTTCGATTGCAACTTCCCGTTGTTGCAAATCATGAATTTTCTAATAGTGTTTCAAGACGAAAGTATACAATTATAGGATGTCGCTAATCATGGGAGGCATTAGCACGACGAGAACCACTTGATATATCTTCTTTGATCAGATTTTTCAGTTATATTTTCTTACTGTTCTACTCGAGCAAACATGTCAAAGGTTAAAGAGAAGAATCGGGTGGCTCAGATGGGAGTGAACACCCGAAAGAAAGGAAGGTTTTGTCCATACAATGGCTACGGTGAAAAGAATTGTAGAGGTCCGATCTGAACTTGAATGAACAATGGAGGCATGGAGCGAAGGATCAGTTCTGCCTTTTGGCCAATATCGCATTTCTCCTGGAATGGATCTCCGCTGCCCAGCTTTTCCCGAGTTCAGTTTGGATTTTTCCTGCATGTCAATTCAAATATAAGGTAAACAACCGGTTAGCACGTTCAGCACATATGACTGCAAACACGGAATTGCAAAAAAGACTCAATCACCTGCAGTCGAGAGGAAGAATTCGTCGAGTACTTTCCCGGATTCTGTGAAGACATTTTAACACAAGAACGTAAATGTCAGGTCAGCAATGCGAACAAGGACACTCAAACTGCCATTGTCTTTCAGGATAAATACTAAGAGACAAGCACAGAATAGTATAAACGGTTTGGATTGAACAATAAGCATAAGAGATATTGCCATATTGGACTTTAGAAACCATGACAAATTGACAATACTAATATGATTACGTGGCATCTTCCACAAGTAAGATAGAAATGGATAGTGGGGCACATCGAATAAATGCAGACGCATCTTTTAGGAAATATTTTTCCATTACCCTTTTCTTCTCAAGATGTTGAAATAACAATCGAAGATAATACAAAATTTTTACTGTTTATCTTTGCTTTAAACGGCAGCATTTTTAGATTTCTTTAAAAAAAATTCACACCACTGAGTTAAGAATTTATATGGAACAAGGCACAAATAAATTGGACGTTAGGAGAGTGGAACAGAAAATCTTTACGTTAAAGTGTGTTCAAAACATGTATCATGCCACGATATGTCAATTTTAGACGCATGTCCAACATAGATACATGTCCTCCAAAGGTACGTTCTAGGTGAAGCTCGCCTTGTGACCCTAGCCAACAAAAAACCACAAGAAGGTAACCCAGGCAACAAGCCTAGGTTGCCCATAGCTGACTGACTCAAACCAAGAAGGCCAATAGACAGCTGACAGCTCCCATAGGGAATCAAACTTGGAACCTTGTGGTTATCAGGCAACTGTCTGACCAACTCGGCCACGGGTTGCCCCCCAAGAAGATATGTTTTGAGTATATAAATGTTGTTAAAGCACAGCAATAGTTCAAACAACGCAATAAAATTTAGTGGTAACCTAGTTCAACAGTGAAAAATTAAAGCTAGTTTGTTGAAGTTGAGAATTACCCGCTTCATACTCCAGAGCCTGCAGAATCAATTCAACCTGGAGAAGTATGAATGCGTTAAAATTTTCATTGATGCAAGAATGCCAATGAAACATGAAGAACTGGAACAAGCAAACTCCTATTATAAATTTATAATTTTGCACACCAAAAAGACGGGACAAAACAAACAAAAGCAGAGATACAGAAGATTAAAAAATTACTTAAGGGGAAACTGAAGGACGGGAATAATAACGCATTGTTGTTGTTGGGTGGGGGTTAAGAGGAGGATGCCCATTAAAATGGTCAAATATAGGAAACCAACGACACTTGGTCAATTTAAAGATGGAAATGGTAAAATGCAATCTTTTATTGTCCCTAATATATGTGAATCTTTGTGTAAGACGAGCAGATGATGAAAGTGATTGCATACCTTGTCAAAATCTTTTACGAGATTGGCCTCCAAGGAAGCATTGTTTTCATACTCTGCCCAAAGTTCCTGGATCTCTTCAGCTGGAAACAATATACGGAGAGATGCAAAACTTTATAAGCCGAAAATAATGTTTATCGGTCATTTTCCGTGGAGAAAAGAGAAGGTTTAGCCATTTACGTTACCTCTCATTCCTCCACCAAGAATTTCGCACATTTCATTCAGTGCAGCTTTCTCTCTTCTGCTTTTTTCTTCTTTAGGCACGCCATCAGATGGAGTAATATCTCCAACAATTGCTATAGAAATTATAAATGGACATCAACTCAAACTGCGTAAAAAACTATTGTAGAAAGGGAAAATATGAAAGCATATAATTTTCCATTTTAAGGTAAAATTCTTAGAAAATCCTGTAAAGCTTAATGAACGGTGAACCCATGATTAGGCTGGATGATCATCTGATATCTAAGAACTATATTGTTATAAGACCACATGGAATAAATATTTTATCTCCAGATCTCAGCTTTGCCAAAAGTCTCTATAATGCACCCTTGATCATTTATTTTCGTGACAAGACATCATAGAATAATATTAATGCTTGTTAAACACAGAAAATGGAAATATTGGAAAAAGGAGAAGAAATACCTTCTGCAATATCGTGAACAATGGCTATTTTAATACACCTGTTACATAAATTAAGAAACAAAACAACTACCATTACTTCAATCAATAATTCAATATACAAGAATTAATCAAGAGAAAAAACTAACAAGGAAACTATTAACTTATAGGAGTTTTGAGTTTGAAAATATAAATGAGTTCTTTCATTCAACCATCACCAAGGACTTCCTTAAGTGCACATCATCTTGGCAATACTATCGCAATTTTAAAGATGCATCCAAATAGACATTACAAGATGAGGAAACTGTAATATCCAACTATTATTACTTTGTTGTTGATGCTGTTGTTCAATAATAACACCGTAAACATCCGAAGAATTTGGGGCTGGATGAACATGTTTGAAACAGGTATTAGGTAAAACATTTACAGTAAACTGAGAGCACTGAAGAATTTGATGCTTATTCATTTTACAGTAATTCATTACAGCAAAACAATGATACTTTTGCATATACAATCACACAAAACTCTGATGTTTCGACACTTTATTGCCCTTGAAATGAAAGGTAAGAACTGTAAGGTGACTAACACTTTAATCCAATCCTACCCTTTTCTTTTCATTAGCCACAACTGATAGGGTACCAACACACTGTCATATACTCATATTCGTAAGCTATAAGCTTAAAGAGAAATGATCAGAACCTTCATTAATATAATCAAGTCGAAGAGTCCAACCTTTCCCTGTTGACTCCAGGAAGATCACCAGCAATCAGGGCCATCAGGGCCATGCGATACATGTGATCAGCGATGGATTCGGGGCCTCTGATCCCATGATTTATCCATCCCTTCCGTTTTGTAGTCTACAAAATGGGAGTGCACATAGGGGGCAAATTGTGTTAAATTCATTCCTCATCACTAAGCAAACAAATTTGAAAATGCTTTTAGTCGAATCTTTTCTTTTTTTTTTTCATAATGCCAAGCATCTGCTAATTAGCCACACAACAGAGACTTTTGATTTTTCTTGTTCAACAATCAAGATGATCAACCTATGCTTCACATTAATCTGAACACCACCTTCCTTAGACCTTGATTCCTTCTGTCAATTCATAATCTTTTAACAAGCTAAAGTTTTCTTGAATAAAATCCCCTCAAATCTCCTCCCATTTCTACAGCCTTTCTACCCATTAATTTATTAAGTTCATACACATACCCTGCAAGACTAAAATGTTATCGCCCACTCTTACAAGCCCAACTAGATGATTCCCAAAAGAAGTTTTAAAAAAAAAATTATCCGAAAGAACAAAATTTCCAGGGTATATATATACCTTTAGACTATGGCAAAGCGTGAGAAAATCAATGGCATTAGAAGGGGAAGACGAAGCTCCGGCGGCGCTGCAATCCTGACTCAACGAGGCGGGGCTTCCGGACCCAGATCCGAATCCGGCCCCATTCGGGTCGGCCTTGACGGAATCGGAATCGGGCATTTGGGAACGAAGCGAAACGGGCCTGGGCCCGCGCCTGGCGTTTCGAGAGCGGGAGTTGAAAAAGAAAGAAACTTGTTTCCGGGAAATCGGGTTGGAACAATGTGTGAGCGCGTAGGGAGAGTGCGACGGCGGCGATAGGGAAAGCGAAGCAAAGCTGTGGTTAGCAGCCATGGTTGCAGAGCGGTTTTGATTTGTTGTGATTTATTGATTTGTTTGTCGGATTGCAGGACTTCAGGTGGAAAGGGAGAGTTCGCCGAGGAGGTTGGTGATGCTTCCGAAAGACACGTGGGCTATCTTTTGGGATCTTATACTTTTTTTTTTTTTTTCTTCACTTTAGATATTTTAGGATAATCTTAGCAATGGACTAATTGGTCTAATGGTCTATTTTGTAATGACTTGAGCCATGACAACTCAATCTAACGAGGTCATCTTTGATAATTTAACATGGGAGATCTTAATTCAATGGAGTTATATATTTATTAAGTTCGGATGATTTTATTCAAATGAGGTTGAATTTAACTCTAAAAGTTTGGTTGTTATAAAGTGACTAGTTTTTTACGCGCATCGCACGATTGGGATAATGTCCAATGTTGAATAAGTCCACTTCAATTTGTTGTGTGATTTGAATATTCTTTTTGTCAATAAATTCCTCAAGTTGTTAATGTTAATATGATTGACTTAATTATATTTTGGGAAAAGGGTCAAATAGACCCTCAAACTTTCCATAAGAAGTCAATTAAGCCCTCTGACTTTTCAAAGTGACAATTAGACACACGAACTTTTAATTCCTGTGCAATGAGGTCCACTGACCGGGTAATCACCGATAACACCCGGTAAAATGCTCTGTAGACGCTGACTATAGGCACCATCTTTATACATTTGGCATGCCACTCATCAAAAATTAAATTAAAAAAAAAAAGAAACAAAATATTAAATAAAGAAATACGAGGTTCCTTAGGGCTTAGGATATATACGAGGTTCCTCAATATACGCTCCATTCTCCTTCTACGCGAACCAGCGAACAGCAATCACCATGTTCCTTAGGGCTTAGGATTTCTTCTTCTTGTTCTTATGTTCTTCTTCTTAGTGTCAAACGTCTCTTTTTTTTTATTTTTTATTTTTTTTTATTTTTATGTTCTTGGACTTTGCATCTTCTGGCTGGAATGGTCCACCAATGTCGTCTCCCTCAAAGTTGAGGCCAAATTTACAATATGAGCTGTATTTGTATTGCCGTTGTGGATTGAAATCACCACTATGTGTATATGAGATAATGGACAACAATTTTTTGGATGTCAACGATGAAAGGTACTTTTATTGTTTTCAATTTGTTGTAAATAAAATTTTATGGGTTATTATTTAATTTTCAAATTTTCTAGGTTATTGTTTGAAATATGTTTGGGTTTTCAACATTTTTGTTGTTTATAAGTTTATGTTTTTCTTGAATGGATGGATTTGTCCAGGAAGATGGCTGTGGTTTTTTTTTTTTTTTTTTTTTTTGTGGAAAAGTTTATTATCAAAGGAGTGGAAGCTTGAAGTTGATTCGAATATCAAAATGGAAATTCGACGATTGCGAAGTGATGTTCAGAAGGCTATTCAAGTTTATGAAAGCAAAAAAAGGCAGAGAAATATAATAATTAGTTTAGTAATTGTTGTAGTGATAGGTGTGTATGTGATTTTGCACAACAAAAGGGCAATACCATATGGATGTATGTTGCCATTGGTGCACTTTAATATGATGTTTACTTTAATTTTATTGACATATGGCTTTGTGGCTGTGTATTGACAATTTCACTGTAATGTAGTCTTTATTTAGTGGCTTAAATATTTTGAATCCTCTATTTATAATTGTGCAATATCATATCAATGTTTCTCCATTATTTACAATCTGTTTCTCTCAAAAAAAAAAATTGCACAATCTGCCACTAAAAATAACCCAAATCTGCCAAAGTATAACAATTACAAAGTTGTATGAAAAAAGCCAATCTGCCAATCATTAAAATGCCAATCTGCCAATCAAAAATGACAATCTGCCAATCATAAAACACAGCCATACATTTTCATTCACATACTTGCCAAATCAGAATTTTTGTCATTGTTTACATGTTGCCAAATCAAAATTTTTGCCACTTTTTACATATTGCCAAAGGCATAATTCAACGCCTAAGTAAATAAAACAGTAAAAAAAGATTCTAATGGCAAATAGTACCAAACAAGTTTGTTTGGCAAATAACAAAAAAGTTTCTAACAGTTTGCTTGTCAGTTCATTGGTGTAATATCTTGTTGGCCATTCCTATTAGGGCATGTTCTTTTATAATGGCCCGGGTTCTTACAAAGAGAACAATGCATCTGTTTTCCCTTTTTAGATACCCTTGTCTTGACACTGCCAATGATAGTAGTAGTGGATGGCTTCTGACGAGTTGGGACTTCATTGGCCTCATGATTTCTTTTTCTTTTTGGTCTACCTGTCATCTTTTTTGGTATTGGAGCAAGTATCTCCTCAGATTGTGTCTTTGGCCAGAATAACTCTCCATTCATAGGCTGAAGTGTATGTGAATATGTCCTTAGGTAAATCTCTTTTGAATAGCAGGAATCAATGTATTCTTCTGGGTCCCTTCCAGTATCAAAGATTGCACAAATTGCATGTGGACATGGTATACAAGAAAGATCCCATGAGTTGCATGGGCAGCTTCTACCTGCAAGTTTCACTTTGAATTGTTGTCTTCCTTTCTTAATTTCATAACCATCATCTCCATTGAAATCAAGTCAGAAACTAAAAATTACAATAAAGTGATATTGGTAGTAAGGTTTCACTTGGAGTAAGGTTTACTAGCAGTGGTAGTGGCATAATGAAAGGGATAGTGGTAGAAATATAATTACCTTCCATCCCACACTTTCACCTATATTTGCATTTAGTTTCTTCATTATAAGGGGTCCATAATTTCCTGTCCACCTTTCAACATCCTCACTTTTTTTGCAATCCTCTTCATCATCCCTATTCTTATGTCTTCCAACATAGGGATAATGGGTTTCACTCTTGCTTTCACCAAAGTGCCATTAAAAGCCCCACACAAATTGTTATCTACAACATCGCACTTAACAAATGTCCTAAAGAAAGCCTTGCACCACAACCTTGGAGGGCACCTTAACACACATTGACACATATAACTTAATACATAGATGTCCTAAAATAATACACACAGTGAAACATTGACACTTTATATGCATTAGAAATATGAAGCAGTTTACCTTTCTAAGTCAGCTTTTGCAGTACGGTCCATCTTTTCTAAACACTTAAGTTGTTCTTGGAATTGAGCTTCAGTTGTAGCCTTGGCACACATCCAAAAGTGTTTCTTCAACACTTTTCCTCTATGTAGCTTACTCCAATTAGCATGCACATGTCTAGCACAATTGCGGTGCTTGGAGTCGGGAAACAACTCTTGAATCACACGTGTTAAACCCTACAAAAGATATAGAATAGAATATATTAGATAATTATTCCAGTAAAATGCATAAGTGGTATTTTATTATTTTTGTTTTACCTTCTGTTGATCGCTGATTATTGTCCATGGATAAGTATTGGTGATGCCCAAATATGTTTTCAATAACCCTAGAAACCAGCTCCAAGAATCAGTGTTCTCTATCTCTACGACTGCCCACGCTATTGGGTACATTTGGTTGTTAGAATCTCTACCAACTGCACTTAAGATTTCACCTTTCAAAAGTCCTTTTAGAAAGCACCCATCCAGCCCAATCACTTTCCTACACCCTTCTAAAAACCCTAACTTTAAAGCCCCAAAGCAAACATAAAATCGTTGAAACACACAAGGACTATTAGGGGTTGTTTTATTAGTTTGTACCAATGTTTTTGTTCCAGGATTTGAGTTCATACATTCAGTAGCATAATCCGGATTCTGTGAAATTGATCCTGAAAACTAGCATTTATTTTCTTTAGTATGGCCCTCACTACTCTTCTCACCATAGAGATGCCCAGATTGAGTTTCAATTCTGATTGGATGTGCCTTTTCAATTTTGATGGTCCAATTGTAGGGTAATCTCTTACATTATCCTCATACCTATCTTCAATCCACTGTTGGTTCACAATTGCCAAGCTGTATTTTAGATTACATTTGTGTACTGCAGTTAGTGTTTTAAGCTGAAAGCACTTTAGAGTTTCATCCCATGAACCAGTAGCTTGAAATGGGCATGACTTTACACATGCAACTGAAACTCTCTTTGGTTCATTTTTCACATAGTGAATGTGTAGCACCTTACTTTTTCTATCTCTTAATCACAAATCTAAACCACAATTATCATAAACTAAGCAGCGGAATTAAAAACTAAATAACTAGTGAGGATGTCACCGCCACAACCACCACTCCGTGGTGATTGCACAGGCTAAGGCGTAAAATTAGAAATAAAATAAATGTCTAACTTCCATAATAAATACTGAAAAACATAAGGGGGAAAAAGTCACCCCAAAAGTCTACATTATCATCAAAACCATAATAATAACCATGAGTCTAAATCCGGAAACAAAGTCATCAACATAACTAGAGTTTAGACATCTCAAACTACGAGACTAATCTAACTCGATCTCTTCTCACTGCTGGGCCCACCTGAAAGGGGTTTTGCAAGCAACACATAGACAAATAGGAAAACACCCGTTAGCATGAAGATAAGTATAACCACACTCAACCCTGTAAAATATTATAACATATACTTTGAAAACATTTGATTTCTCGTGTAAACAACAAACTCATCTCATAAACATATTTAGATCTATCATATACTTTCTAGATGCTTGCAACCTATAATATCAACAAACATACCTAAAAAACATATGACTTTACAAATCTAGATACTTCAACATGTATATTTCACAATAAACTTAACAAGCAACTTATGCTTACAAGTAGTAACATGATAATAAACTAAACAACAGGTATTCTCATGCTCTCAAATTCTCATCACATAAACTTGATGTACAATGCTTCAAATATAATTATACGATCATGCTTGATGTACAATCTTAAATCAACATTTTCATTATACAATCACATACGATATTCTACTCAAATGCAATCTTGTGCAACACTATAATCACATGCAATCTCGTGCAATACTATAATAATACCAATATGCAATCTCGTGCAATACTATAATCATACTCATATGCAATCTTGTGTAATACTATACTCATACTCTTATGCATTCTTGTGCAATACTATACATCATACTCATATGCAATCTCGTGCAATACTATACTCATACTCATATGCAATCTCGTGCAATACTATA